CAGCTGCACAGTAATTACACCGAAGCTGCAGGGACGTATTTAAACATTTATTAAAGAAAAGTCAGGAGGATGGAGAAGATAAAGATAAAAGCCAGAAACTGTCCAGTGCAGCGCAAAGAGGCAAGGATATGAAGAAAGAGAGAACACCGCTTCAGAAAAATGCAGAAAAAAATTGTTTGATTAAGACGATATTTGTGCTAAAACTCAAACACGCCCCTAAGAGCTTGACTGCTTTGAATTAAGAGCATTCTCAAAACTGACAACAAAACTGTCATCTGTTGAATTGTGAGAATTCGTTCGAGGGCTTTAGATCTCCATCAGCTAGCCGTGTTGCTTCTCACCAGCAACATAAGAGATAAATGCTAATGATAAATGAGGTGTAGACCTGCAGTCTGTCATGATGAATGCACCTTTTAACATAATTACAAATAGTGATAATTTTCCACTTTGAGATAATTGCACGGTTGCCATTTATTTAGGATGCTGGTAAACAAGAGACCCATCTGGTTTCTGCGGCCGTTCCGACTGAATACAACTAACAACACAATAGTGAAATGGCAGGAACACTGATTAGCAGCTGCATCACTTCATAGTAGATCCTCACCGACAGAGTCAGCTTAAAAAAACGGAGGTAGAGTCATGAGAGGATGCAAAAAGTTACAGAACGAATAACTATAGGACATCCTAGACGTCCGTCCTTCTATCCATTTTCTACACCAACTTCTTTACGTTAAACGTGTCAGGAAGTCGATTTATCCCTCCAGCGTTTGGACATAATTAAACGTTATTATTTAAATTTATACCTGTCTGGATTCGACCCTCCATCGCCTCTTATTTCTTACTTCTCTTCTTTTGAATCCTGCTTCTTGTTGTTGAATTACAAAGAAATCAACTCTCCTATTGTTTGTTCCAATTACTCACTGCTAGTCTGTTTACTTGTTAACATTTGGACAAATAAAGTTTGGATTAAAATATATTTTATCCGTCCTCACAACCTGTTTGTTTGCTCACTGTTCAGCTAGTCTGTGTCAATTGTATTCTCTTTTTTTAAAGTTGATGTTTATCCACCTGCTGTAACAGTTTTATATCTTAGTTTACGGAAACGCTGTTTCGTTATTTTGTGAAACAACTCCTCTAAATGTTTGTCTCACCTGTAGCTCCGCCCCTGAAGGAGGGTTTGCCTAAAATTCACTATCAGGAGTCTCTGGGCACAAACCTTTTGTCACTCATAGATGAAGATGAGGACATTTAAATGAGGAATTTAAATGAATAAATGGTATCTGGAATATATTCCCAGCATGCCTTCAGATTCAGGGGTTTTAAATAACTCCAGACCACTGAGTCTGTAAAACCCACAGACTCTGGGACCGGGAGTCCAATCTGAGGTCCACAGGCCGTTTGTGATAGAGAAAGATAGACTTTTGTCTTGACTTCAGGTTGTTGATGCAGATAAAAAATGTTTTTATGTTTATAGAGGAACTGGGAGGTTTTGGCATGCTTTAAGCACCCCCTAGTGTCCGTTTGTAGAACCGAAAGCAAAATCTCTCCTCACTGCGTTTGTCTTTTAACACCTTAATCTAACAGCTGAAACGTCTCCTCAGCCTTCATTAGTGTCTACAGAATGGATGAATCACTAAATTAAACAAATCAGCTATGTTTATTAACTGAAACATGCAGGAAACGTGCCGGAACCAGACTGCAGCGGCAGGTATCTCAGCTTATTTTTTTCAAAGTCCCAACAGACCGACCTGCCAGTCTGAAGTTGCAAGTGGAATATTCTGTCCACAGGGGCGATAGGGGCTGGGTGGCCTTTCATTAACCCTGTAAAGGTTCATTTTAGCACATTCTGGCTGAATAAAGTGTTTAACCCTCTGGAGGCAGGCGCTGCAGTTTTGCAACGTTAAAACCTACCTACCTGGTTACTCCACATACGTATTTCATGAGTATTTTTTAACACAGAAGTTCCCCTGAAGGACTTAGTTGTTCATCCTTTTATCAAAACTTGTTTTGAGCCTGAGAGGGTTAAAAATATGAAAAGTATCACTTTGATACAAATGAACAAAAGAAAACATTTTTATGGAAACATTTAAGTACAGAAAGAAGCATTTCTCTTTTACTAAACATGTTTTTTTTTACATTTTGTTTTAATTTCTGGTAAACAGAAGTCCAAACCCACACTTTTTTAGCATCATTCATAAAACTCGACTACATTCCATAAAACATGACTGAAAACACAGACCCTGTTCTTGTTGCTGATAATGGACTCAAGATCATTTTCAAAAACGAACCAATCACCCCATCAGAATCAGGGATTTTGATGCTTTTCTTTTATTAAACCATCTGTTCGTATTTTTCTTTTATCTAATCGCACCATCTAGTGGCTATCAAGCGTATCACATCATGACCTACTTTAATTTCCATATTTACAGTCAAAAGCAACACCTCTCGTTCATGAACGTGCTCCTCTAGCCGACAAAACAGAGCTAAAACATATTGTTGTACAATTATTATGCTCATGCTCTGTTGTTTTCATCTATTTATATTTTATAGACTTAATTTTCCATGAGAAAGGTTGCCAACTCTGCATGCGGTAGTAACACCATCAGTTAGTGCTGATGGGCGCTCACATCATATGAGCTCTACGGGACTGGGGCGGGCTTAGCAAAAAAGAGCTATTTCCTACATTATATCACAGCACATGAAAAGACAATTAATTTAACGTATTTCTGATAAATTACACAAAATTCCTGAAAGGGGGAATCTCCGGATAGCAACTTAAGACAAACATTTGAGACTTTTTGTATTTAAATGAAACACTTTTTTTCTTTTCCTTGCATTAAATGTATTATAAATAACTAAAAACATGATTTTTGTAGTAGTGGTAGTAGTAGTTGTTGTTGTTTTTCTGGCCTGAGACAACTTTAAACTTGATGATTTTGGTCTCCAAAAGTTGATATATTTGATGTTATGGGAGATCTGCAGCTATCATCAATTGCCTTCATCACCAGATGCATTTTATATTTATTTCTGTTTCCTTTTTTAATGGAAACACCAAACCCTGTACTTGAATCACTCACTAAAACCCATGTTTAAGATTTTATGGATTTTTTTTTTATTTGGACCCAAGTTTGTTCAGCGTTGAGACTACTAACACACTTGTGATGTCACATGTACTGGTGCTTAGAGACAAGAGGGCAGATTCTTGGGTCTGAACAGACTGATGTCAAAAGTTTTGTGCATTAAAAAAACTCTAATCACATTACATAATTAGTTTTTAAAAGAATTAACATCATTTGATGCTAAAGCACCTCTTTGCTAAATCATGTGCATAACCCAAAGACCTCCCTTCATCTGCCAAACCGGGGCCGTGTTCCCAGAGACAATCCTGCTCATAAATCAATGAGTCCTGGACTGGAACTGGCAAATCCCACACCATTAAAGCAATAAAGAGGCAGACTGACGACACCACCTACACATCAATGACATCCACATGGGCACCATGCCGGCTGCAAAGACATCAGGCACACTCAAAGGCATTGCTGCAATGCATCTTGCAGACAGTGCACACATTTTACCTAACCAGGGTGGAAAATTGGATGCATGCATCTGCAGAATGAAATATGTCTGAATATTCAGGGATGTAGGGCGAGAATGTGCACTACTATGTTAGAGTGCTGCAAAAAGTTAAATTAGAGGTATGCGCTGTTAGATGATGTTGGTGCAAAGTCAGGGAGACAGGACCATAAGATGATGTGTTGGATAAAAACAGTATTGGATGTACTGAAATGATTTTGTCTGGGTACCATCTGGAGTTTTTTTAAATTCAAACGAAGGTTCATTCCATGCTCTTCTTTTGTTATTATTCTGTGGCTCCGGAGGTTCGACCTTGCAGGTCTGCAGTTGTTATCACAAAAGCTCCCAAGTGAAGTTCAGACAAAGTTTTTCTCTGTTATACCAAGAACCTGGGAAAGTTTTCGTTCTGTGAGGGGGGTGGGTGTGTTTATCTTTAATGTGTGTGTGCTATGTACTTTTGAATGAAACCTTTTGCGAGCATCTGCTCGTCGAGAGACTGAACAGACTGGTGTGTATCTTCTTTCTCTCCAATTTTGCAAAGTCTGGTTGTTGATTATTTGTGACTGATTAATGGTAAATGGTAATCTAAAACCTAATATCTCTAACCCCCTTGTGTGTGCTGGACTTTCTTTGAGGTAATCCTGGATTGATTAAATAAAATTACCCAACATGATGCACAAAAGAAGAGAGTACATTAAACAATTTTTAATCCATTTAGTTTAATCTTCATGCATTTTGTACCTAGAGGTCTTTTTAATCCTTACATTTATTACTTTTTTGGTGTTTTTGTTGTTGTTGTAGGATTTATGGCCCTGCACTGTGTTCCACAACTATAATGTAAAAGTTTTGCCTCTCAACTAAAAGTCAGTGTCTGAGGTTAGTCAGATCATAAAAAGTTCTACTAAATCAAGAAAGCCATCGCCTCAAGGTTATGGGAGTTGCTCCGTGCAGAGTAACACTGACACCTACAGGCCCAAGCAGGTCCTGCAGAAACACAGAGTGTTATTAAACCCCCATGCTGGCTGACATCGACCACATTTAATCAATGGCTTCAGCCGAGTGGGTCGTATTTCAAACACAAGACTAAAACTGGAAAGCAGGTCTTTGAGTGTAAAATTCAGCCTGAGAGGTGCACGTGTGCAGACGCATGAACATGTTCTTGTGACAGAGAAGACATTTATAAAGGGTTTGGTTTGCTGTGTGTGTGTGACCACAAGCAGAATGAATCAGCAGGACAAAGAAGATTTAAACGACATGATGGGAAACTTAACGACCCCATGAACATCACAGAACAGCTTAAATGAAACAAAACCCAACACAGATGACGAGTGGGGATTAAAATGAAAGGCGCACACGTTTGATGATGATGGATGGTGATGCGGCTGATGTTAACATTGACGGAGCATCACGGATCGCTGTGCTCTTACCAGAGTGGAAACTGCGGAGGTGTACATTGGAGTGTGTCCCGTAGACATCAACACAGGCTGCAAAACAACAGAAGGGATAGGGTAACTGTGTGGGGCATGCAGACGGGCGCAAAGGAAGAACAGCGGAGACTGGTTTAGTTTCACTTCCGCCTTCAGGTGTCACATCTCAACATTTATGGTAAAGATTGTTAAGAATCGAACATTCAAACTGTGCAACAGTCTTCTAAAAAGGATAGTTTTGCACAAAATCTGTGTAAAAAAATGCACTAAATCCCAATAATTAGCAGAACACAGTGTGAGAGTGCTGATCGTTGCCCCTTTAGCTCACTAATTGTTGCCATATTGGGGACAACTTTTACAAATAGCAGCACTGCAGCACCTTCACACGCTGCAGACAGTTTCCTCCCACTAGAAAAGTTTTACTTTGGAACGAAGAGCAGCAGTGAAGTCTGAATGCTGATTCCAAAACAGCACCTGAGAGGTGAGTTTTTGCTGACGCTGACATTTAGAGACACCTCCGTTAGCACACAGAGGTGACCCACTTGACATATTTCTGTCTCTTCTTGGCAAATCACGAATGAATGTGGCAATAATTGTGTTAAATTTAAAATTAGGATATTTTTGGGTTGCCCCATCTAAATGTATTTTTACGTGTTCTGGGATGAACAAATGTTACGTTTGAGGTTTTAGTTTGACTCTGCTGCATCATTTCAGCCAGCTTGTTTCTTCAATAAACGTCATATCAACACTTTTATAGATCATCTGTAAAATACAATGGCAGCTGGTGAATTTCTTTTTGGTGGGGGCATTTATGCCATCTGTTTTCAGATGTGATAACCACATATCACCACTAGGGCATGCCAAATTACCATTACTATGATAGAATCCATGTTTTCTACCTCAACGACACCCAATGATGCTAAATAAAAGGGCTAAAAAAAAGCTAAATACGCTTATTGAGAAAAACACACAATGGCAACAATGCACTACAATCCTCTCCACAGAAGCAGCCATTTTAATTAATGCCCAGACTCTCCTCTTTACAACAATATAAGTACCATTACTCTACCTGCAAAACTCACAGAGCAAACAAAGCGAATTTAATGAAGTCAAAAGCGTAATTTCAGTCTTACCTTTGCTGGTTTATGGTCAGAATAATCCGTGTTATAGTAAAAACCAAATCCACTGGGTCAGTTTGTGTAATCCCATGTTCCAACATCAAACTGAGCTGATTCCTTATTGTTTAGGCTTTTTTTACCCGCTGGAGAGTGTTTCTCAGACACCACATTTCATAATTTTACAGTTCTCCATACTAAAAAAAAGTCTACAAGGTGTACTCAGCTGCTCTAAAACTAAGAACGGTGAGGTGACAAAGAAATAAGTACATAAAGAACAAGGAACTTTGGGGAGCTTTCGGTTCTGGGTTGACATTCTGATCTGAGCTGAGACTCACTCCACCTGCTTTTGGTTGCAAACCTCTGCGCCCAAAGGCTCTCCTATTTTTTGCATTGGAAGGGGGATTCAGTGCAGATTCGCCAGTTAGCAATGGTAAAGATTGCTGCACCCAAAAGGAACAGGGAATTTGTCAGAAGATGACTCAGTCATGGTAAAAGTTAGAGAACATTTTTAAACTACACTTAAATGCAGGATATACACAGTATGTATAGTATGTATGCTGTATAGATAGTTTAGTTAATTTTCATGTTTTTAAAATATTTTGTGATTCCTATCTTCTTCCTCCTCCTTTGAGACTGATTGGGCGGCACCATAGCACCCCCTACGGATGAGCCGCCACTGGTAAAATCTACATAAATCCTTATTTTCTTCATGCTCAAAGTAAATTTTTTCATGTATCCGCTAGATTCTTTGTTTTACTAAAAGTGTTCAGAGCTCATGCATTGGTCTGATTATAAGTCAGCAGGCTGTAGTGTGATGCCAGCTTACTGACAGAACCTCTAATAAAGCAGGCTTACAGGCCAGGATTGGATTGGTAAAACAAAACGATGCAATGACTTTTAAGGAATATAAGAAATAACTTCTAGGTCGCTCCTCTTTACTGACTAACATTCTTTCCTCAACGATGCCGCTTTTTCCCAACCGGTGTCATAAAACAAATGCCAGTGCAGTTAGATTTCCCAGTGCAGACTTGGCTCAAACATGATTGGCTCTTGAACCAGGAAGTATGGAGGCGAGACAGGTGTAAACAAAAACCGAGGCCCAATCCAAATACTTGCACTTCTACCCTTGTGCCCTTCAAATGTGCAACCTTGTTATGGGGTGTGAGTGCGGAAGTTGACTACGCCCCTTTTGCACCCTTGATCTGCACTGTGAATGAAGGGTGTTACCCACAATCCATTGCTGCATGGGAATTTTGAGAACAATGGCTCAAGTACCTTTTTCTGAAAATATGCATTTGCAATCAAAATAAGTTATTTTAAGATGATTAATGATATTTATTCATGTTCTGAATGCTTTGGACTGAAGTTTAATGTGGACAGCACAGAATGTAAATTTTGTCAATTGTTTTTTTGAGAGTTGCACAAACAGCGACCGATATCCCAGCATGCGTCGTGGTTGATGACGCAATGGTCACCGTCCCCATTTGGCAATTAGATGGACACTTGTGTACTACAGACCTAAAGTCTTACTGCACACTTCCTCCAAGTGCACTTCACAGAAGACCATAGAAGGCAGTGCTAGTATTGGGACTGGGCCAAAGTCCAAGGCCCAATACTTCCACTTCGCGCTACGCTCTTTCGTAACCATACTTCCAACATGAGTGAGATGTTAGACTGTTATGTGACTATTTCACAGTAAAATCTTTGCATATTGTGCTTTTAAATCATGTTTCCTTGTGTAATAATTCTAAAGGTTAAGGTTAAAGAGCTTGTAGACAGGACACGTTCTTTTAAATGTAACATTATTTTTGCTTTTGTCCCTGCCCAAATAAACGTCAATTGAATAAGACTATTTAAAAGTACAGACAATTTTTGGGAGGATTTTATTTTATATCAGCCTGTTTTAATAAGTGTTTAACTTTAAATGAAATGAAAAAAAATTTCAGTTTTTTTTATATTTTCTTTCTTTCTCCTGTTGTTGGCAGTGTGAGTTTAGCCAAAAGATCACTCTCGCTGACACAAACGGGCATTTGTTAAAAACAAAAAGCATTTAAAGCAATCAGCCAAGAGCCACAAATGAACTCCATCAATCCTGAATTAATTACCCTTCATCGGACCATGGTAAAAGCTTTCTAAAGATCAAAAATAACGTTTTCATTTGAATAATAAAACGGAAACAATTAAAAAGCTCAGTTTTAAAATACTCCTGTCCTGAAAGGGGCAAAAACTAAAGTGTTTTTAATAGTTCAGTCACTTTTTGTCCTTTTTATTTTATTTTCTATAACTGTTCAAAGATGTTCAAGAAGGTTTAGATAAGTAAAAATAGATGTCTCTTTTTCTCCCTGAAGAGAAACACAAAACTTCATAAATAATAACAGAAATCTAGAAATAGTAACATGAATCCTCCTGTTCCCACAAAACAGCATCAGGCTTTCATTCAGATGACTAGAATAGGCCATTTTATTTTGTCCTCATACTCTGGCAAGCCCTATGCAAATACATAAATATATATAGTCTGGCCACGACTCATAGACAGCTCAGTTTTGGGCTGCTAAGATCGCCCAAGGTCTCTCTACAAACATAGAATGCTGCGATTGGCCCAACCTGAAAGTGGTCAAGCCTATGGAAGAGGCTACCATTGGGCATGGCTACACCGACCTGCACCTACGGTTTGTCTAGATTTCTGTGCGACATTCCTCACCCACCGGTGCTAGTTTTCTTTCTCATGAAACAAAAGCTTAAACCATTAAGATAGCAGAAAGGGAAATAAAGGGGTATCTTGTTTAATTCAGACCGGAACAATGAAGTTAATTATTCTTTATTGTCACATGGATAAAAGTGAAAAACACTCCAAACAGAAAAATAACTCATCCATCTGTTTTTTTTTCTGTGTTATATACTAAAGTCTAAAGACTAAAGTCGTCAATTGCATTTTTTTAACGGGGGAAGCTTGGGAATGTGCTCGTGCACCTTGAGAGTAAACATCACAGCTCTAAAGCAGATTTTCATTCATGTGTGTCACACGTCACATGATCAGGACACATGAATTACTAGGATGTGACAGTGCTTTATCTATAGTGTTGTTGGTAGAGAAAGCAGGATTTGTATGCCTGATCAACACATAGCTTATCAGAGGATTGGTGGGCGTGGCCAGGCCCAGCTTGTTTTCTTAAAGTGACAGAGCTCTGAAATGGCTCATTCTGGAAGGTACTAAAATATCAAGAATAAAGTTGCTGAAATAACTTTATATTAGAGGGATATGTGCAAAAACATTCATGATCATATTTTGTATAGAGCATGGAACTTTTAAAACTAAAAATAATAATATGTCCCCTTTAAAGAAAACTAAGTTAGCTAAAAGTCTTATTTAAAAAATGACAAAAGCAAAAAACATTTACCCAGATCTTGTTTGGTCATAAAATGCTCAAAGGACACATCGTTCTGCTGAGGCTCGATAACCTTGGTAACATTATAAAGACAGACGGATTAACATTACTGCAACACCTATCGCAGGAAAATACTGGATCTCATAGGGCTTCAGCGACTGACAGATGCGAGGAGAATGGAAGGAACATTTCATATTTATATTCCTTCTTAGACTTGATTAACCACGTATTGGCAGGTTTTATACATGTAGCAATTAATACATATTAATTATGACCAATAAGATGTGATGATTCCGTATAAATATGAAATATCAATCCGATTGATCTTTGAATGTTTAATCAGAAGATTCTAGGGTTCTTTACTTCTTTAGGGACCATAAACACACTTCGTATTAATTCAGACAGAGTCAGTATATAGTTTATAAAATTTATTTAATCATTTTTCCTAAACTAACTATTTATACATGACAAGATATGAATAATGAGATGTGATGTGGTGGATGTGAGGTGTTGTGATGGAAGCTAGATGTTGTAGCAACCGTTCTTTGTATCT